GGCCAGACGTAACCGTCAATCATTTGGATCAACACTTAGTCAGCGAAAGAAAGGGTTGCTAGTAGGTCTCTTTAATCAGAGTCAGAGTGCTGAAGTAAACCTTCTAAGCCGGACCCCAACAAAATATACTCTGAGAAAATTCCATCACTCACTACCTACTGTGGCAACCTGGCCAGCTGCCTGTATCTATGAGGTATACATGTTTCCTGCTAGGATCTGAGCAATTTCATAAATATCTTGTATATTTTCTTCTTTTCTTTTTTCCTGTATTATTATTATTTTTCTTTTTTATGGTAATTCTTTGATACTAAATCATGAGTAGTTTTAAAGATAACTAATTATTAAACGTTAAGTTTTAGATCTCTTTTTATATTTTTGTTAGGGCAACCTCCCAATATTTAAAGAAATTCAATGCTCATCAGCATTATAACACTCTTAAGGACCACAAACATTTTACAATTGGAGGGAGAGACGCGAAACGTTGTATTGCAGATATTAAAAGATAAAAGTAAAAGCAAAGACAATTCTTTCAAGCAGCAATAAGACCTGGAAATAACGCCAATGAAGCAACTTATCTTATATACATGGGGAAAAAAGGAAGCCATTCAGTGATATAGAAATTGTGAAAAAATGCATTGTCAAAGTTGTAGGATGCTTAGACCCCGATAACGTTTCAAAGTACAAAACACTGCCTCTTTCAAGGACAACCATAACTGATAACAGCATGAATTAGCCTTCAACTTAACAGAATATATATGTATATTATTTAATCACTTTGGATGAATTATCTGATACCACTTACGGTACTCGGCACAGATTTTATAATCCTATTTGGTCATAACAGAAGATGCTCTTTGCTACAAAGAGTTACTCGCTTTGGGCACTTTTGCGAACAGAGCATGGGGAATAGATATTTTCAACAACTTTCAAGATAAATGTAGTGAAGTTGGAGTGAATTTGGTAAATTTATTGAGTGTATGTACAGACGTTGCACCTTCCGTGATAGGAAAACATAAAGAGTTTATTGCGGAGATAAATCCGATCGGTTACGGAGAGGTGAATAGGATTCTGGGACTGCAGGAGGACAGACATTAGGACATGTCATGACGCCCTAACATCGTTAAAGCCCATGCCATTCAGAAAATAATGACGCGGCCTAACGGCGGCAAGAGGTTAAAGCAGCAATTAAAAATAAATTTATGTTTGGTGACCTTGCATTTCATTAATATGTTAGTTTTAATCAGATTCTGACGTTTTGGTACCTCCAACCAAAAATTCAACAGAAACAAAACATAAAACACCATAAATGCAGCTGTTTTTGTAATATAATTTTTATTGAAAAAGAAGTAAAAATAATTTGTTTTGTTTTTGAGGTTAAATGCAGCTTTTATGAAATTATTATAACGCCTTTTATACTGACTACAGTTTGTGTTTCTAAACGCTACTATAAATGTTCTATGGCTCTAAATTTGCTACTTTAACACATGGACAGTTAGAAGTGAATTGGTTTCCCATATAAACCAGAAAAAAAAGATATGAGAAACTAATTTTTATATTTACATTTTTGTGATGTAAGTCACTACCACTTTAAGAACATTTAAAAGCTAAGTTTGTGACGTGTGCACTTTGATTCACTTTGAACAGGATTGTATTTTGATCACATGCAGAATAATGGACATTGTAAATATTGCAAATTCATTTCACTTGAAGGATAATTCTAAACACCATACCAAACGTTTTAATAATTGCAAAGTGAACTCAGACTCAGCTGTGGCTTTTAAGCTCTCAGAATGGCTTATAACTGCACTGATTTGTAATAATCTTTGCATCTATATTGCCAACCGGGCAGCCAATTCTAAATTCTAGTCTGCTTGAGCTCATTTTGTCCAGGTTATGAATGTGGCATGTATATGTGCTGCATACACAACTTGGACTTATTCCTCTATCTCATCCTATGAAATGAGTGGACCTGCTCCTGGAAAATTAATGACTCCTTCCATGAACCAGACAGTGGTTGTCCTGATGAGGGATGGGTCTTCCTGCTTCTGACACCTGCTACGCAAGTAGCATTAGGATCCTTAAAGGGTACTTTCTTTTCTAATATTTTTTTCAATTTGTATGCTTATTGTTTTAATACATTATCTACAGAATGCTTTAAAATGGTGGAGTGAAGGAATTTCCAAAAAAAAAAAAAGGAAAACACCCAGAATGGATAGAAAATGAAACAAACAAATACAAACAAATGTATTAATGTCCGAAACATCATACATTAGAATTATAATTTTCTTTCCTTTGGTAATTAGAAGACATGGGGGAGAGTTATCACAGAAAAATCTATTCTATTGATCACTATTCTGGGGCTAAATAAGTAGAAATCATTCAGAACACCTCACAACACCTTCTATTATAGAAATCAGTAGAACACCTTACGACACCCGAGGAACACTATAGTGTTTGGAATACAAAACTGTATTCCTAACACTATAGTGCCCTTTGGACCCACCCCATCCTCCTGTAGCAAATAAAGTGTTAGGAAACCCTTCATACACTTACCTGATTCCAGCGCCCAAGTCCTTTGTTGCAGGGTCGCGTCCCTCTTCTGCTGATGTCACGCCAATGGGGGTAACCTAATGCGCATGTGCAGCAAGCACCATGTGCGCGTTAGGCCTTCCCCGTAAGAAAGCATTGCCTATTGCTTTCCTATTGCGATTTTATAGATGCTGGATGTACTCATGCAACGCGTTTCACGGCAAGCCACCAGAGGCAGTATTAACCCTGCAATGTAAACAATGCAGTTTCTTACATTGCAGGGTTAAGGGAACAGGGATATTGCACCCAGACTACTTCAATGAGATGACGTGGTCGGTGTGACTATAGTGTCCCTTTGGTACTTTGTACCCAGAATAGCACCTGTTGTGCCTTGATAAATCTCTCCCAAAATATTATCTTTTAGGGGTAAATGTAAAGCTCATGCAGAAATAATGGATGCCACATCAGAAAGAGGCTATTTTTTTTTCCGTTCTATTGAGAGTTTCCACGTTCTCCTAGGTGATTAAGGAGGGGTAAAATCGGGGATTATAAATTACCAAGCATTAGGAAACAGGAGGGCAAAAAAAGTGACTCTGCATAATGCATACTTTATTAACTCTATTTTCAGATAAGATAAGAGTTGGCTTCATCATAAAAAAAGTACAGTGAGTCAAGCAAAGCTTGACTCACTGCAAAATGAGAAATATGTTCTATTATGGCAAAAAGCTGAAGTCTTTGCTTTGGCAGATAAGATATCACTTTCACAGCAATCTTTATTTATCTGTTTAAGGGCCAAAGTATCTTTATCATAGCCTTGTTTGCTGGCTCATTGGCAAAACATCTGTAGCCGGGTTAACCGAGTTTTCTGAAATTCGTGTCACTGTATATTGATCTCTAATGCTATAAAGATAAGGATAGTAAAATATAGCTGTTAGTGCTCAGTCACAAGACAATAATACAATTTAACCCCTTAAGGACACAACTTCTGAAATAAAATGGAATCATGACGGAATATTTCCGTCGTGTGTCCTTAAGGGGTTAATGACAAACAAATAAAATATATTCCTATTATTTCATTTATAAAGTGCTATTCTGCATTGTGAATATTCACATTATGCCATGTTATACATTGGGTTAAAACAATTTATGAGTCAAAGATGTTGAAAACATTTTGGTATATTTAAAAAAAAAAAAAAGAGATGAAAACCTTATCTAAATGAGCTTGTTTTTTCCTCCAGTATTTACATATTTATATAACGTCATACCTTTCAACATTACTAATGGACAAATTTTAGGGTTGTGAGTGTGGGTGTTACCAGGGGTGGTGCTGTTCCGAGAAATTTTTGGTTACTTCCTAATTATGCAACTAAAAGGTAATTTATAACAAGAACAGTGTATCTTATTTACATAGACTGATTTCTAAACACATTTATTGTTATTTAAATACACATTACTGGGAGTGTTATTGCTGTAAAGCTGTGTTATACACAGACACATCAACAATGTGGGGCTCCTAGAAAAGAGGGACAACATAAGGAGAAAAAATAGGGACACTTGGGAGCTATGTAATGTGAAATGTATTTACAGAAATGTGTAGACTTTTCTAAAGCATTACTTGCTATGGGCTGCCTGCAAAATTGATAAAACGATCACCTATTTACTTAAATTGCATTTTTTTAATAAAATGTTTTTGTGATGAAGAATCTATATAAATATAGATTTTAATGCAGTGGTTATTCAGTATGAAACAGAGATTCGTTATGTAGCATGATTCATGCAAAATGAAACATTTTGGTAAATTAATTTCATAGATCTAAGTTAACTGCAGAGATAACACACATTTTCACAGAAAACCTGTTATAAAATAAACGTATAACGTTCAGAAAAATACCTTAATCCCATTGCTATTCTGCAGATTTATGTACACACAATGAACTTCCTACCCTGAAGAAGTACCATCCACATTCAGTGGACCACCAATGAACTTTGTAGACTAGCTGTATAAAAGAGGAACGTGGAGGGTGGGATTTCCAGGCTGCTTGTAGCATTTGATTTATTTATTTTTTAAATTCTTTATTTTTATCATGCATCCATACAACATGAATATCATATTTTACAAAATCATAAGGTAATATCCAGCATATTATACGATAAACTGCACTTTTTAAGGGAAAACAAGAATAGTAACAATGACATTGAGTAAGCCTGTGTTGGTTGCACAGGCTGAAGATTTAACCACCTGAAGGCCGCCCAGCTTCACGATATGACAAAAACAAAAACTTTGTAAATTAGACACTATGCAGAGATGTATCAGAGAAATATAGCATCGGTATATGCAGGAGGTCTGATCAGAACGCAGAATCTAGCAAAGGCCATTTAACTGATGCTCTTACAACTCTACAGCTGTTCATTGCAGCCACCTCAGATCCTTAGAACTACGCCATACCCGCCCCAGGCCTGTGTAGGAACCCTCACCCTTGCCCCACAGTCTCGGATGTAAGCACAGTCAATTGCTTGTTTCCCAGGGAACAGCACAAGCCAACGTTGATGGCACCTCCGCTGCAGAGTCCTCCATGGATATGGGCATGTTGGGGGTATCTTGCCTGATAGGCTAACAGCCTTTGGAAAACGTACCTGCTGAGGATCAGCATTAATATTTGCTGAATTGCCTGGGATGGGGATACGAGGGTATTGGAATCCACCATGAACAGGGCCCAGCGACAGGCTAACACCACATCATTACAGAGAATCGGATGCCTTCCTCTCTCTGAGTGTGTCCACAGGCTATAGAGAAGCCGAGTACTGGCAGTGCTCACCATGACTAGACAGAAGCAGACTTAAATCTCTGTGTTGTGGACATAATATTAGCAATATTATTACTAATAAAATGCATATTTACTCAGTATTATGTTAACAGCACTAATCATGATTTACTCAAAATGGCCGCTAGGGTGTTTCCTTTGTCTCCCACTAACACTCTCAACTAAACAAAATGGCGCTGGAATCTGGAGGAGAGGATGAGCAATAGATGAACCACTTAACACCTAACCAATTGTTGATGTATTATTTTCTGTTATCTCTAATTATGCATATGATGTATTACTGCTTTATAAGGGGCACGCCGGCCCCTTGGAAATAAATCATTTCTCAAGTTTTTCATTAACCAGAACTAGTGTCTGGTGTGATTTACTGGGGAAGCGTGCACGCATATTTTAATCAGGACAGGGGCAGATATTCAAGATTATCAAATGTATGGTGATTCCACAAAGATAGCTCAGGATATCTATTCAATATAAATAGCGGTTCTCTGGTAAAATGCTTTTTTGGGTGTTTTCCCAGAGGAGCACCAGCCATGAGTGACTGTTTTTCTGTCAGCTGTCTGGCCCCGACCCCGAATTTGATTTGTTTTACTTTTTTTTTTTTTTATACAATTTTTGTTCCTGAGGAAGTTCATATATAGAACGAAATGCATAGGACCTTATTAACTTTTTAAATATACTTTTATTTTATGTTTGTTATATGTTACTATAATAAAAGCATTGTTCACTTGACTATATCTGGATTCCTGAGTGCGTCAGTTACTGTATTGGATAATTCCTGGGAGACAAAGAGGCTTTTGGCCCCCCATTCAATAGGGGGAGGCACCCATGAAAGATTTTACATTCTATTTTACTATCTGTTTTCAGTCGGATCCTAGTTTTTTTGTTGTATTTGTATACCCTAAAGGATTACTCCAAGCACCATTATCACTTTAGTGATCTAAAGGGGTGAATTAATGAATTAAAAATTTGGAAAATGGGAGCTCACCGCATGCTTTCAAATATTACAGGAAGTGTGTCTGGGTGATACCATACTGACACTCAGGGAAGAGTGAATGGACTCTACCACTTCAGTGTCAGTATTACATTAACAGTCCAAAAATTGCTAAAGATTGCTAAAGAAGTTATACCTTTATTTGCAAAATATATGAATATTTACTGTATGTGGGCATTATGCTCAAATGCAGACATCACATTAGTAAGCTGCACTAATAGTAATGCCTAAAAGTATACATATAAGCTAGTTATTTGACCATTTTTATTTATATAAACTTGTCACATCTACTATATGTATTCAAAAGAATTTTCTTGCTTGTATACAAACAATTGATATCCAATATAAAATACTGCAAGATAAAGGACACTCTATACTGTCCAAAGCTTCCTATTTCCAAATAAGTTTTTTTTTATAAAGGAAGAATAAATAGAAATTGGATGAATTTACATATTTTCAATTTTAAGCTTGTTTGCAATGCAATCAACACACAGAATTGCTGTGTTGTGATGTGTTTATATGCAATCTAGGCATTGCTTGTGGTTCTAATACATTTCAATCAAAAATGTTTGGTAGTGAAGGGGTTAAACTGGAGATAGTTCACTTCGTAGTAATTTCATCATTATCTATGTATTTCCAATGATATATAACTAAGTCAGTTCAGATCTAGCTGTTAAACTAATCTAAAAAGTTATTATTCTAAATATAAAATCTTCATCTGGTTTAAACTTATAACAACCTCCAAAAATGAGTGTTTACGTTTAAAATCATGATTTAAATTGAGTATTACTGATAAGTTATTTAAATCGTGATTTAGATTGACTTGATTTAAATCGATGTTTCAGAATGTCCAAAGTGCCGAATTTCCCAAGTACCAAAGTGCCGAATTTCGGAATGCCAAACCAAACCGAATTGACAAAGTGCCGAGTTTGAGAATGCCGAACTGAAACGAATTGCGAAATTTCCAAAGAGCCGAAGTGCTTCGGATTTCTGAAAAGTGTCAAAATAGGAGAGGGTTTGGGTTAGTGGCTGGGGTAGAGGTAGGGTTAGGGGTAGGATTAAGGGTTGGGGTAGGGCTAGGGTAGGGTAACCTTAACCCTATTCCTAACCCTACCCCTAATCCTACCCTAACTCTACACTTACCCGAAGTCCCAAAGTCTCAAAGTCCCGAAGTTCCAAAGTGTTGAAGTGTCGAAGTGCCGACGTTCCGAACCGAAGTGCCAAAGTGCTGAAGTCCCGAATTTCAGAATGCCGAACCTAATATTTTTCCCATGCACATCCCTACTATCTATCTATACATGACAATTGACCCACTTTTAATACTGTAGACCACTTTTTAGAACAAATATTTTGATAAGTATCCCTCATTGCCTCTGAGGACTTGGAAGAACAGATGGTAGAAATAGAATATGTCCGTACTGTGTTCCTTGCCTTCCCTGAAAATTTACTGTCACATTATCCAAATTGCTAATCATTCCAAAATAGAACAAAAACATTTAGTGCATTTATATGATCATTACATCATCCACCGGAAGCAGCGATTTGGAGTTTACCTTGCTATTTTCACTTGTGAAAAGAACAAGGTTAAATGCTTTGTAGCAGTTATTAATAATTTACTTGAATTGGCTGCAATTGATGGTTTGCTTTCTCTGCTGAGAAAGAATAATTCACACAGTAACTACATGTAATTTATGTAGCAATAAAAGATTGTGGCTAAGCACATACAGTTATATAAAGCACCTAACAGTTGGAGTCAACATGGGGTCAACCGTGTTCATGACATCGAACTCAGGACACCTAAGACTTTTTCAGCCTAGTATAAGTATAAGTGTAATATGAGTATAACTGCACAAGGTTAAAACTGTTAAGTATATCTGAACATTACTATGCACTTTATCAATGAATGATGCTTGTTCAGAGAATTATGATGAAATTAGCTGAAAATCTCCAATGGTGTTTACTGATCTCTCAGCAATGCTGCATACAAGTACTTCCATTAAAGGGATCCTATAGTGCCAGGTAAACAAAGCGGTTTTCCTGGCACTAATGGTTTAAAAGGTGCCCCCCTCCCTCGCGCCCCCCCTCCCGTGTTGCTGAAGGGGTTAAAATCCTTTCAGTCACTTAGGTGAATCCAGCGCTGAAGTCCCTTGACGTTCGGTCAGGCTCTGCCCACGCTCCTCTCCCACCAAGGTCCGCCGTCGGGGGAGACCTAATGGCCATGGCCGCGCTCGCATTAGCATTTCCCCATAGGAAAGTATTATACATTTTCCTATGTTGAAAATCTGATGCTGGAGGTCCTCATGCAGAGCGTGAGGGCGTCCAGCATCAGATAATGGACCAAAAGTCTGTTTCGATTCCAGAAGCGCCCCCAGTGGCTGTCTGGTAGACAGCCACTGAGGGCAGACTTAGAGGTACAATGTTTTACATTGCAGCACTAAGTGCAATAGGGACACTGCGCCCAGACCACTTCAGTGAGCTAAAGTTGTCTGGGTGCCTACAGTTTCCCTTTAATTTAATTTTAGGATTTCCTGATGCCCATTATCTACTCTGTATTGGCTTCTGCAAGCTTACTCAGGGTTAATGTGTAATGGTAATTTTTCAGGATTTTAATATTATTCTTTACTTACTTAGGGAACTTTTGTCTACTTGCATCTTGTATATGAGGAAAAGTAATCCCTACTTTGCCGTATATATAACTTTAAAAATAATCATTAGAAAAAAAAAAAAGACAACAAAACGGAGCTGCCCAGGGAGCATATTTGGACACGCAGGTACAATTAGAAAAAGCTGAGAGAGACATTTTGAAGGAACACTATTGCGTTGGGAGTACCTCTACCTTAAGATGGCTGCCCCGCCACTGTGAGGATTTAAGAGGTAGATTTACTTACCTTATACCACACAACGCGCCGGTCGTGCCTTTGTTTGAGGTCATCAAGCTTTGGGAGGCTAGAGTGCATGCACGGCAAAACACAGTCTAGAAGAGAACGTCTGATTGAAATAATTGAATTTCACTCGACCATTTCGGCAGAAGTGCCTCTGTTGGCTGTCAGAGTGACAGCCACTAGAAGCATTTAAACTCTGCAAAGAAAATGTCACGGAAGCTCCCGTGCCACCGCCTACTGGAGAGGCATGATAGCTAGCCTCCTGCCCACAGACTATGGGCCTGGTCACAGACTTTAAAATCATATATAGGATATGGGGACACATTGTGTTAATGTTGAGTTATTATGTAAAATGTTGAGCTGGATGAAAGCTATTGTGTTAATTGTATTATGTAAAAGCTATTGTGCTATGTGTCTTGGTGTCCAACAGGAAATAAAGTTATCACGTCTTGACCCAATTATGTCCCAGACACCAAGACATATGGCAAATGAGAGAGTTAGTTTATACTGAAACCAGACTTCCAGGCCACTCATGTGTGACTTCTCACGTAGCTCTGCTGGGGTCCCAGCTTCAAAGAAGAATTTAGGTTGTAAGGTCTGACCTCCCATTCAATCAAATTAACACCTTTTGAAATTTATAATACCACCTCTATCAGGCAGCCATTATATATATGCACGAACATAACTTTCATTTTGCCGAACTGACCTGAGCGCTTTTTGGATATGTTGTGCGCCCAGATCAGGGCTATTCAGGAATATAATTTGTGTGGGGTTCAGATGCTATTGTCATATATTTATGTAATATGAAAAAAGTCTTCCTATTTGAGAGATAATTGGATTAGCTGGATAAGGCCTGTGGGAAGTAAACCCCTGGGATTTTGTATTAGTGTGGCCTAATAAAGTTCAGATTGTTGCTGTTACCCAATATGACTGTTTGTGTCCATTATATTGGGGAAACTCTACACAAAGGGAATACTTTCACTATATTCAGCACATTTGGAATTAGGCCTTGTAACGGATCCCAATACTCCGGCAGAGTATATCCTAAATCCCAAGTGAAGCAGTGATTATAGCTCCCAATTCCCCAAGCATCAGCCTAGACTTGATGAAGGGTAGAAACAAAT